AAACAGACGTTTCAAAGACGTTACTTTTTCCCTGTTGGTATTATGTAGTGAGTAACATGTTTACACTTTACATGCCTAATGTGATTTATATTAATGAGTAAAATACGCCTATATAGGAAATTATAACGTCATTATAAGAAATAAATTAACAGTCTTTGCTTTACACACACTTTATCAACACAGAAGCAATGATTAAAAATTAAAAATTAAAAAAATTACTATTTGATTCTTAAAATAAGATACGAATTTGATTATTCATCCATTACTGGACTAATAAATGGTTGATAGATAATTAATTTATTGATGGATAAAAGAAAACAATATTTTTGATCTATCATTAAGCTAATAAATACTTAAATATTATAGATTTTAAACTTATGTAAATTAAAATTTGTTTAAAAAAGTGTATTAAAATAAGTCAATCTAAGTATAAGAATTCGGTGGAATTATCTGGATACCATAAATAATAATGGCGACTATGGGTGGTGAATGGTGTGGATAACTGATGCTAATTGAATAAAATAGTTGAATAATTGATATTAAACCGTATAAATTAATTTTACCGAGTACCAAGGACTAAGATATAATTAACTAAAAGCGACTAGACGGTAAGGTAGGAGAAATGGTTTTTGCTAATATCTCTTCCCCTTCAAATTTCAATAGTTTCTTTAAGTTCGTTTTATAATTGGAAATATGAAACTATCAAAGTGCCTGTGATGGCGGGTAAATTTTCATACATTTAAACATATAATACTCAGTACTCTTATAAGGGTACATAAATCGTAAATTTATGTGCAATTTTTCAATTGGCTATCGGTCACATTCGTGTAATTTATTGTGTACAATTATTTTGTTAATTTTGCTTGAACTGTTTTTTAGTAGTGGTATACGAAAATAAAATCGTTGGATGTCACTGATTATCATATTATTATATTTTTTTCAAGAGCCTTCCCACATGTTTTCTTAAACCCTATTTGTGGTAAACAAATTACGTTTCTATACCAGTTGATTACATCTTATTGGCACGTGCTGAATATCAATAAACCAAAAAAACATAAATAAAAACTCTAAATAAATAATAATATTATGTTGGTTGGAATAAAATACTTTAACAGAAAGTCAAGCTGAATATTTTTAAACTTACGATGAATGTTATGTTTAAAATATTACTACTCAAAGTATGTCACATTGTTACAATGTATAAACTGTTCACATATAGAGCGTATAATAAATGCTATAATTTTTACGAATCGAATTTAAAATATAATTTTCACCGATGATAAGTGGAAAGATGATTTATGTATAAATATTAAATTACTAAAAATTCACAGTATTTATTTATAATAAATAACTGGTTGTTGATTATAAAGGATTTTATTATCTCAAGCTACAATGAATAAAAATCAATTTAATTTTGTTGATTTATTAAGTGGACAATATTTTTAATCTCGCAAACAAATACGTCACGATTTTTTGTAAATATTGCCCATTTAAATGTTTATTTTATAAATATTTTTAAAATTAAAACAAATATTATTATAAATATATTCCATTCATTAATAAAGATACAAAATTTTGCAAGTTTCATGACTGATGACTGGGGCTAGGATTTCAATGCATTTGCATCTTTTTTTTGGGATATCTTACGCGATGCTTTCCAAGCTACAAATATGTTTCAAGTACTTCGCAATCTAACCATAATAATTTTGTGGGGCATTTTTTGACGGTTTTAATGCATTATTTAATTTTTTAGGAAATTTTTGACCTATTTGTCGTATTATGACTTATTGGCAGACAACCGTCGATCATTTAAATTCCAAAACATTAAAGAAATTCTTATTGTACAATGCAATGCAAATATAATTTAATTTTTAATTTTAATTTTTTTTTGTACATTATAATATAATTTATTAATTTAGGATTTAGAATTTTTATTAGAATTTTATTTGTTCCTCATTTTTTAATAATAATTAAATTTGAATTTATTTAATAAATAATCCATTTTTTGAAACGTCATTTTTTGATGATATAAATGTCATAAATGCATTTTTTTGATATTTTTAGGGCATTTAAATCCGAGCCCTACTGATGACCAACTATAATTATTAATAACTAACGTTCCAACCAAAGCATATAGACGTAATAACTAATTAATATTATTTTTTTAATTACTACGGTTGATATGGTTTATGTCTTGAAGCTGATCATTGTTGAATTAAAATATAAATGAGTAAACTATAGTATTCTTTAGTAAAAAAAAAACATTTAACAAATATAAATAAAAAAAAAACAATATTTTTAGTGCGTTACATTTATTATTTGTTATTATGTTTCGTTTAATTTTCAAATTACATTTTCGAAACCTTGTGTGGACGGTTATACAGCTGAGTGCTTACACAGTTCTCCACTTTCTGCTGTTTCAAAATAGTGATAAATCATTTTCTAGTGGACTTTAGTTTTGATTGAAGGTCAAGACAACAGTTATATAATGTATGAGTCCTAATAAAATAATTTTAAAAAAAGCGGGTAAGTGGATGTAGCTCTGCTGTACAGTAGGTTACAAGTGGGTAAATGTATAATGGATTGTATTAAACTTGAATTCAATGATATGATATCATTGTATAAGAAAAACGATTCTGAGCGGAGACGGTTTGTCAGTCTGGATTTTTATATTGTTATTATTTATTATAGCCTGTTAGTTTAATTAATATTAAAATATTATTTTTTTTTTATCCGTTGCTATGGTGATTGGTGATAAACAAAACATTAGAAATTAAAATCCAATTTTTATCGGTTTTTCGTAATTTGTCGGTAGTTTTTCCCGTGGCATTAAATAACTATTGAGAAAATTGAAAAATGACATATTTAAAGTACCATCTTGATCCAATTTTCTAAAAGATAAGGTACTATATTTTTAAATCGAAGTTCTTCTTCTGGTAGAAGTTTTGTATACAGGATATAAAAAAAAAAAAAACACCATTGTAAAACTACAAGCTTCCTCGCTCCGCTCAGAATCTAAAAACAAAATATCGTTCTGCGTCAAAAATTATCAATACTTAATAAGGTTTTATTTTATTACCTAATATTTTCAGTAGCCATCAAAACTAACTTATTTAGTAAAAAAATGTTATTTTTAACAGTATAATAATTATATAAAAAAAAAATTTTTTTTAATAATTATTATTTCATATTATACTGACGCTACTCGTTGGAGTTTTTATCGGTGATATAAATGTAACTCGATGCCTTCTGTAATCAATACAACTATATCTTTAAACTTTATCCGATAACGTTAGTAGGTATACATTTATAATTTCTAGTTAATTTAAAGCTTAAACTTTGCCTCAATTATTATTTTTGGCATTGGCGGTAACTTATACATACATGTATTATCACAATTGAGATTTATGTGTGGATTTTGTCATCATGAAAAAAATCATTGTTATAAGTATCTGAGAAAAATCGTGATGCAGACTTAGCAGTACTTTAATAAAACGGTCGATAATTTCGGTAATTTACCATTTCATAAATAACGTATTATCAAAAATTTATGTAAAAATAGAAACGAAAAAATGTTCAAATTGATTGTTATTTATTTTTAATAAAATACATCAATTTGTGTTCAGCATCCCCTCAATGGCCGTATACTGCTTAATAAATTTTTCATTCGATGGACACGTTTGTGGAACTTTGTATTTGTATTCCATTTTTGAAGGTTAATTATCGAATTTCAATTTTACTAGAAAGTCACTTGAATCAATTATAAAATAAACGACTTAGGTACGTCCAATGTGCATGTATGTGTATAATTATTATAATTATTCAAAATTATTTTTTGTAGAAAAATGTTTAACCAATTTGTTGCACACAAATTACATTAGTTTTCTCTTGACGTGCCGGCAATTGAAATTAATTGAACGTTTTTTCTCTCGTCGTCTTTTTTCATGAAATGTTTGTCGATGATCCGCGTAAAATAACGACCCGTAAATTGTCGTACTTTCAACACCGTAGGAAATTGAGTTTGTTCAAACAATTGTAAAAACAAAATTATATTGTATTTTATAAACGAATAATATCGGAACGTCCGGAGGAAACGAAATGAAGAATCCATTAGTGGGAGAGCAAAATGCGCACGATCGTAAACAGCCTGAACTCGAAAAACAAAAACCAATTTCGGACAAACTATATAAATCACCGTCGAACGTTTTTCGGGTCGCATCCATGGGTAGGTATAGTGGACGGGAGGAGTAATTTCTGTAATCTCAAAAATCACGTGCGTCCCTTGGCACGTACTCTTTCCGACTTGACCTGATCTGATCCTAGCCGACCTAACCTGACCCCCCAGAGTAAAACCATAAAAATATAGTTTATTTTTGTTATAGAAGTCATAACGAGGTCTTTTTTAATTAATCACTGTATCCCTCCTCTGCTAGGTACTTTAAAATAAGTTAAACTCGGTTGGATGATATACCATAATACATGTTGACCTGGAATAATATACATATTATTTTAGTATAAATAATAAGTAATAACTATAGGTATAATGTGCTAAAAGATACAAGTTAATACGATACCACTATAATATTATTAGTCATTAGAGCCTCTCATCTTAATTCAACAGACAATTTGAACCCATCACTTAAAATTGGTGGGGGTCTTTTAAAAACAAAAAAACTAACTATATTGTTCTATAATAGGTATAATAGGTACCTAATATCTATAGAAAGGTGACAAATTCTGAGACTCGAATGTCTTGCACCACGAGGGCTGATCTCATATTAGCGGTTTTTCGTTATAGGTGGTTCGAAGACTGACGAGATATGACCGGTAGAAGACTGTTTACTGGACTCGCGGAAGCTCGCGTGACGGCGACGACGACTTCGGTTGGATGGTAAAATACACGAAATCCGGACAGAAACCACCGGAAATAAAAATCGAACTGACGCCGGACGCGGTACCGACTCCCTCACGGTCAGGGTGATTCGCCGGCCGGCACCGTTATGTTCAACCCACCCAAACTTCACAAACACGACTGGTTCATGACCATGGTAACCACGCTGATCGAGTCATCGGTGAAAGGCGGAGGCAGCGGTGACGACGGTGACGGTGACGACGACGACGACCACGGTTGGTCCGGTCTGTACGGCCCGAACGGCACCTTTGACGGAGGCGGCGGTAGTGGCGACGGCCCGTTCAACTTCACAGTCAAGCGGGCGCTGGACGCGATATTCGAGAACCAGCTGGACGTGGACAAGGTACTGGTGCTGTACCTGGAGGTGGCTATCGTGGTCGCGTACGGCGTGCTGTTCGTTATCGGGCTCGTGTCCAACGGGCTGGTGTGCTTCGTCGTGTTCCGGCAGTGCGGCAAGAAGAACGTGCCAAGCCAGGGGCCGTCGCCCCGCAACCTGTACATCGTCAACCTGGCGTTCGCCGACATCATCATGTGCGTGGTGTGCATGCCGTTCACGCTGTGGGCGCTCATGTCCCGCCGCTGGACGTGGGGCCTGATCATGTGCAAGACGGTGCCGGCCGCCCAAGGCGCCAACATAACCGTGTCCGCGTGCACCATAACCGCCATCGCTCTGGACAGGTAATATTTTTTGGATTATCCGATTATATTATTTTTAAGATATTGTAACCCTCCAAATTTTGCGGAATTTTGGCTTTAAACTTTGCAAATATCATTAGTGTCTTCGCGTGCGGGGTTGAGATATTATTGAGTATATTATGTATAGACTAGCATAACGTATAATCAACGTTATAAACTTAATATAACAGCCCTTATATTATGTTATAACTAATGTTTCCTATCGGTTTTGACTTTATTTGGAATCTGGTGAATCCATTGTTTTACCCGAGTCATTTACTGAAAATCGTAAAGTAAGTGACCGAAAGTAGACCGCTGGCATTAATGCTCTCCGTGTCCACCCCGCTCCACGCCTGAGACTATGGCTGAGTATAGGTGACATATTGTGTCAACTTGACAGTCGATAGTTATAGATAAATTATGAATACGTTCAAGGACAATGATACGACACGTCACTCTTTTATATCACCCTCTCGAGCTTTGTCAACCATAATATTATGGTTTCATTTGTTCTATTAAAAAATTTTTTTACCCCCATAGTATTTTGCATTCAATCGATCATCAAAGCAGTATTATCAATGTGTGTTTGTATAGCTGAACTACATCACCCATAATTAATACATAGATATAAAGTTGCTCGAGTGCATAGGCGTGCTTAGAGTTTCAGGGACAGCAAACATTTATACCAGTCCTTTTTTTCTCACACACGGTCCATAAATGACCTGGAGGTCATTGATAATGAAATTAATATTACAGTGCACCAACTGCATCTTCATCATGGGACACTTAAACTCTAATTAATTTTTAGTTTCCTGTCAGTTTTATTAGATATACGCCATATAAGTCTTTAACGAATGTTAATAATAATAATAATAATAATAATAATAATAATAATAATAATATTCTGGGGTCTGTGTTAAATATAGAAATACAAAAAGATTAGCTTCGTAAATCAATACCCTTTTTGGATCAGTAACTTACTTTTTATTCAGTATTATTTACGGTGGACCAACTTGGACAGTTGACCCTATTCACTCCCTTACAAATATAACCGAACCTTTCGGGGCAACAAGAGCACATCCCGCTGCCTCTGTGCGCACGCCTATGCTTAAGTACGTTTTTTTTTCATTGACTTAACCATCAGTCAACCAAATTGACCCAGCCAAATCTATTTACTAGTTTCATATATCTTCCGTTGTAGAAAAGCGTTCTAAGAATATCTAACTTTATTTCACCAAGGATTTCGATCTTATAAATCGTGCATCTCTTTGAAATATTTTGGGGGTATTTACAATAAATTAACTTAGATTTTTATTTTAGTTAGATTTAATCGATTTTAATAATTACTGTCGCCACCATTACTGTTATTGTTTCACCGAGAACGGATTATATTTTAATCGTCGTCATCATCATCAAAATCGTATCGTCATCTAGAGAACTCAGACGAATTGCGATCTACTTGACTGATCAAATCAACAATTCGTTGTCTAAATGCATGAGAGATTGTATTGCGTCAAGGTATAACGTTTATAATTTATTCCGTAAAGTGTTTTACGAAATAAAAAACAAAACCGAAATCAACCAATCACCACGAGCATGTTTGTTTTAGATTATCGCATTAGTATTTTTCCAATTTTTTTTCGGTCATACTGTTCGCCATAATATTCAGTTACCAATACCGTTTTATCCGTACAATATTATTACGGTGAGTAATACGGCGTTGGTACAAATTTGACAGCTGTTGTGGTTGGTGAAATAAAATATGATATGATTATTGCAGGGAGTGTTTTGTAGTAAATACCAAACAGCCGTTTCCCATAACGATAGCGTAATGCGATTTTTTTCATTTCCCTTGTCAATTTGAACACTGATACGTAATTTTTTCACCGTAACACATTTTGTTTACATTTGTTATTTAATTTGAATAGTTTTTTCAATAAAATATGTAAATTACTATACTGTATATGTACCTATTAACTTACAGTGAATTCCAATATAGAATATGTTTTATTCATATTTCATAAATAAACAAGTACACTTATGACCATGGTCTGCTTATCAATATTTTAAATAATAGCACAAGGTTCAAAATATGAAAGCAAAAACTGATATAATTTCTTATGGTATTGTTTAAAATGATTATAAATGTACTATACAAAAATATAATATACGCATCATATTATAATTAAATTGAATCATTGATGAAAATTAAATATGAACTATTTTTAAACTTCATATCTGATAGACAACAATAGATATAAGATACCTATTAATATTTATATTAAATTTCCAATGTTAGTTAAATATATTTAAAATATTTTTTAGTAAAATACATATAACTCTACAAAAATATAGTAGTTTTACATCAATAATTATAGTATGAACTATTCAATGGTGAACACATTAGGTAACAAATAATATTAGGTACAAAAATAAAATTTACTTTTACACGATTTAAATGTGGCAGGTATAAATGACTAAATGAGATACATAATCAGATAATCTGATTTTTTTATTTGAGCTCTAAAGTTTTCAGACAAGTATTTTCAACCTAAAAAGTGAACAACAGATTTTTATAAATAATTTTCAAGTATAATGTAATTACTCTGGGTCATTGTTCATACTTATATTACCAATTTGAAGTTTTTTGAATGGCTTCTCTTCTAAATTTGTATCTTTTGGTGTAAGTAACTAGAATCAACCTCCCCAAGTAACTTTCACAACTAAAGGAAAACATAAAGTATTAAAGTGACGGATGTCGAGCACGTAACTTATCTTATTAATAACCACAAATTCAAGAATCATTTTTCTTTTACTGCCTTCCACCCCCACCATGTCTTTATCTAAAGTTTTTCTCTGAAAAATAACCATTTTAAATAATTCAGTATTAGGTATTCAGTATCTGGACAGTCCTGGTGAGACCACAATGATAATCTGATATTATAATTATCTGATAAATAAAATTTCGATGACCCGTTTTTTGTCAGGAAGACTTTAAGAAAATCTCATTACGGTTTGATGTAAACCATTTTGAGTATACTCAGTGAAGAAAATGTTAACTAAAATCTTAGTCACGACTTGCATTTTAGAACTCTTCTGACAAACGAATAATAACTGATAGCTGGACATTGAATTTAATTTTTTTTTTCTTGTACGTCTGATCATATTGAATAATGTAACAAAAAAAACGACCCACGGTGCCGGTTTACTGAAGCCGATCGACTATTATTATAAACGATTATATTCATATATGGTACACACAAAATAGGTATGATGTAGAGCAAATAACCCTTCACCACTTTTGGACCTTCTAGTTTAACTTGACGAAAACCAATGGATTTTTATATATCAATATTAATTTGGTATGAAAAAATTTCGACGCCCGATTAATATTTTAATTTGTAATACCAACTCATTATAGGTACATATTGCATAGGTCCAAGAGGAGAGTGATTTTCATTTATTACAACTCATTTTTGTTATTAACTTAGCCCTTAGGCTGTATATTTTTCTACAAAACAAATATAGTTTAAATATTTTTAGGCAAAGGAATCTAAATAAATAATATAAGCAGAATTAAATTGAAAAAAAAAACCAATAAGTAGAACAGTTTAGATATAATATAATTATTGAAGCGTTAGTTGTATTTTACAATAATTAAATACCAAATTTTTAATACAAATATAAATTATTACACTTTGCATACCTACCTACCATAAACTACACATTTTTTTTTTATTTTTTTTATTCATTGTTTTAAAAAATTTTTTGATGTCTACTTTCTACAAAATATTTTTCATGCCAAACAATTTCGTTACTTTGCAATTTATAATAGCAAAAGCTTTTGTTATTTGAAGTGGTTGTTGCTTTTAACTGTAACGACAGACAAAAAAAAAGTGATGAATGAACCGTCGATACTATTGTTATAATGTTGTGATGAAATATATTAATATATACGTGATGAAAACATATTTTAAAACACATAGCATGAATGAATATAAAATAAAATGAGTTGGATGGAAATTAAAAAAAAACTTATCAACTATTACAAAGCTTAAATAAAAAATTAAGAGAATTGAAATTTTTTGATTAAACATATTAAATTTTCAAGGAAAATCATAATATATTCTTTGTGTTATTTAGAAAAAAACTATTTAAATTATCATTCGACTTATACACCAATTAACGTCAAGTATAAATATAATAAATTATCAATTCATCAGATAGTTAATATTTCGTGTGGACAAAGAAAAAAAGCGTCACATACATATTATATAGAACAAAATATTTCGTTAATATATACTTGTATGTTTGATATAATATTATTGAATAATCTCAACTGTACATAGATATTGCAAATCTTAATTGCATTATAAATATTAAAATCGAAGTTAAATAAAATCATATATTTATTATTATTTATTGCCCATGTATTAATGGGCCCTTTATAAACAATTTCATATTTAAATTACAATAATTAATATAATATATCAAAGAAATCCATATAATAGTAATAGAATAAATACGAAATTCATCGCATTAGATGAATTAGTAAAATATAATAAAATATAATAATATTAGTTTAGTAATACCTAATTTCATCAGTATTGATGAGTGGATGAATCGTTAACCAACCGCATCATACGGTCTAAAGGATTATTTCTACCATAAATATGGATATTGTATTACATAATGAATATTGCGATACAATGTTTAAGCAGCAATAAGTTACCCTGCTGAAATATGTTAATTCTATGAGAATCAAGTAAGCCAAAACTTGCCGGTTACAGTAAAATAACAATAAAACTGATTAAAAATGTAAACAGCACTTTTAAATAATTTAAAAGTTGGGAGTTTTATGCTAAACGATATACTATTATATCTTCATACATTTTACACTGATAACTCTTATTTTAAAAATCAGAATCACGTTAATCTTTGTATGTATGTTTATGATATTCTGAATATAAATATCAGAAACAAAATTATCCAACATAACTTTA